ATATGTTTCAGTATTAAGTGATCACCATAGCAACTGACATAGTACAGAAAAAAAAGAAGAGAAGTTTTTTTCTTTTTCTTTACATTCATTATTATCTTCTCTTCCCTTCAAAATCCTTTATTCTTCTTTGCTTCTTATAGCTAGAAAGCTTTCTAAATCCTCTTCTATTACCAGTAGTAAAGCCCTCTCTGATATAGAGGAGGCTAAGCTAAGTCAAGCTGTTTAGACAGTTTTAGTATCTGGTACTTATCCTAATTCTGCTAGATTTATTCCTTCTAAATCAGCTACTATAAAGCAATTTGGTGTTTCAAGATTTTCCATCAATAGAAGACTTAAAAGCATTTCTAATTGTTTTAACTCTCATTTGTCTCTTCAACTTTTATCTTCATCCTAAGAAACTATTTTAAAAGATTGGACCAAATCTCTTTCTTCTAGAGCTATTCCTTTAACTCATAAACTTTTTAAAGAAAAAGTTGGAATGATTATTAAAAAGTAAGTTACTTTATTATTCTTTAATAATTATAATAAGTGTAATGAATTCTGGAAGCAGAGGAGGAGGAAAACAAGAGGTAGAGGAGAGTAAGAAGCAGACATTAGAACATAGGCAAGAGACTCTAAGTCATCATAACAAGCCTGTTCCTGTATAAAGGACCATATATTCTATTAATTAATAGAGTGTATATGACTAATAGACTGTACTTACCTTTATTTCTGCCCAGACCAAAGTAAATTGGTCTGGATAGGATTGAAGTTGAGTCTGTGTACTGAGTGAATGCACGTGCGAATTTCTCTAAGTTTAGTTTCCCACGAGTGTGCGTTTCCTGGTGAATCATGTCGAACGCTCAGTTTTGAGTCCTTCACGCGTAAATTCAATAAAATATTTATTTATCAATTTTACAAAAAATTAAAACGTATGTTTTGTAGCTAATATGAAGACCTTTCTAATAGTATTTTTTTTGTGAAATAATAATGAGTTTTAGTAATTATAGACTGCAAATACCCTTAAAGTGAGTGTTTCTGAGTGAAATACAGTAAGCCTGTGAACGGTGTATTGCAAAGATCATCCTTCATCAATTTTGTCTAAATGTAGGTATGATCCATTCCTGTCCTGTGCCTTCGTTTCACACGCTCATCGATAGTTGCGCTTCTCACACTTTGTATGGCACACACAATGGCCTCAGATGGCCAGGCTAGCCATCGCAACGAAGTTGACCTACTACTCAGCAAACTCAAGCATCTCAATATAACTAAATCTATCTATTATGATTCTACTTGTCCTATCGCACAAGGCGGCTTTGGTGATATCTTTAAAGGATGCTACAAACGGGAGGATGGTGCTGAACTCTGTGTTGCCATCAAGCGTCTGAGAGTCTATCTGGACGGTGGCAGAGATGTCACAAAAGTGCGTCCGTCAATTGAATGGACCGTTACTTTTCGTTCACCACAGTCCCTCTCAGATCTTTAGGCGCGAGATTATGGCTTGGAGCCGGTTGAAGCATCCTAATATTCTTCCTCTGGTAGGATACACGCTTGAAGAGACTGGTGACGACTCATCACGGCTACCTTCTCTAATCTCCGAATGGATGGAAAATGGTAATATACTAGATTTCGTCACGCGCCGCCCGGATTGCAATATTGAAAAACTGGTATGCTGAGGGTAATTTCCTTCTCTGAATTTTGAGATTGCTTAGGTTAATATAATAGATTCTTGGTATGGCAGAAGGGCTTGCTTATCTCCATGCAAATAAAACCGTACACTCTGATTTCAAATCTGTATGTTATCGATCGCCAAAAATCGATCGCGTTACTAACAAGTCAAAAGGGGAATGTACTGATTTCTTCAAACCAAGATGCCCTTATCAGCGACTTTGGAGCTGCTCATGTTTCCTATGATACTCAAAGAAACGGTGCATCGAGTACGGTCACAGGACCAAGAGGGACCGCCAGATGGCTTGCTTATGAACTGCTCGCGCACTCGGAGCAGTATGAAGCACCGACTTACGAGTCAGATACCTGGTCATTTGGAATGACTGTATACGTAAGTATTCAAAACGAAACCTCATATTGGCCGTTATTCTGACTTATGTAATTAGGAAGTCTTGACCCAGGAAATACCATATGCTCAATTCAAACATGAAGGACAAATCGCACTTGCAATAATACAGAAGAGGCTTCCTTCCCTATCAATTCAGCTTCAACAGGGACGCTGGGGTCAGCTCTGCGATATTTGCCGGGATTGCTGGAGATTGGATCCCATTCAACGTCCTACAATGGCTGCTATTGCTCAGCGAACTAAGGCTGGGTATCTTCGCAACGTCGAACCGACCTATCAGTCCGACACCTCAATGCCAATATCCATCAGAGGTCGTCCTTTTTCGATGCCCGGTCACATTCCATTGGACCACAAAGCACTGACCATTTTCTTCCGTTCTCGGGTAGGTGGTAATTTTAAATTTAGGACTCCTAGCACGACGATCACATTCACAGCGTGCACCAGAGCGGGATTACACACGCGCTGGATTTTCCGATGGACATTGAAGCGGAAACGCCACATGTACTGGATGTGCTCATTGCAGTTTGCATGCCGCATGCAACTTGTAAAATGGATGGATTCTCGGATTGCAAGTCACTGCTCTATCCACCAAACCTATCACTGACTACAACACTCGAGTTGTCGAGTCATCCAATTCTGGCGACGATCCGGACCACTTTATTTGCTCACCTCACGTCAAACCAATATCTTGTAGCAGTAAAAGATACGATGCAGCTCGTACCCGCTGGAGGGCACATGTGCCCACAGAGGTATTCGACACAAGAAGCTAATAAAGTTGCGACACTCGTCATCACATTGCCCTCGCAGTTCAGTGGCGGAGCGCTTACTGTGCATAATCTCGAGCGTAATGAGGAGAATTACTACAGTGGGGATGAGAAGCTTGGTGACGTAGAGTGGACTGCGTTTCTGGCAGACTGTGGTTACGAAGTGGAGACAGTGCGCAAGGGTATCCGATTGATGATTTCGTATAATGTTCTCCTGCGCACTCATGGTTCGCTCGCCTCCCCCGATCCGACCAATACCGCTTCCGAGTGATCGGATCCTTGACTTGAGCGCTCCGTTACTCAATGTGTTGGAAGGACAGCGTTGCCTTGTATCTCTGAAAACACTGACTTTCTGCCGGCTAAAACACTGGCAGAGTCTTTGCCTCTCAATGTGAATTCCCCCACTATTATGGTATCTCCTTTGACTTGCTAATCTATTTACTGTTAAAAAGCAATAATGTCTTGTTGTACCACATCTTCTGTGGCCCAAGCTCATATTAGAGCTAGAAATTCCGATAGTGTGTCCAGGCCTTCAGATCCTTGCAGACAATGCTTTCAGTGTAGATGATTTGGTGGCAAGAAGGAATAGGTGCTACAGGCAGGCTAGGAAAGTTGATTATTAATGTGTTGCCGGATGTCTATGTTCTGTAAAGCAGAACTAATTTAATTGATGCATTAGTACTATGGCAAGTATTCTTAATAAACTGATATTTTCTTAACATATGTTTATCCTACTACAGTTGAAAATGTCTTATTGCATCACATTGTAATACATAAATGGTATAATGTATAGACTTTTGGCCAGACCAAAACTCAGGTCCTCAGCCAAAATGTATTGTCATAATATATAAATTGTATAATGCATTGGGTCTAGCCCTCTCCTGACATTATACAATAAGACATTTTCAACTGTATTTATTTTCCTTTTCCTCTTTTTTTAGTTCTACATGCTTATGTAATGGTACAAGATAGCTGGCCTTGTTGTTCCTTTGCATTTCAACTTGACAAGGTTTTTACTTCTTTTCCTCTGATATTTGTAATACTTTACAGCAACTTATACAATATATTATCAAATAACACAAAACAACAATACTGCCTGCTTTAGGTTAGTACTGGATATGGACTGGCAGCACAGTTACAGAAAACAATCTGAAATATTAACAATGAACTTAACAGGTACAGTATTGTGAGTAGGATTATTTGATCTTCTTTGCCCTCTTGTTTCACATTAGTGTAAAGCTATTACAGAGTGTAGTGACCAACATGTTATATACTTATGTTTTATACTACTGTAAGGAGTAAACACCTTTCTTATCAATAGGCTATCTTCTTGGAGCTGTGCACTAAGACAATATCTAACAATATTATCCAAAATATGTCTAGGATCATAATCCATTACTGTTTAGCTTAGGACCTGCTACGTGTTCTAATATGTTCTCGTGCTAAAATCGTTACCAGCCATGTACGGTTTAATTGCTAGAACTGCAGTTTCAGCTTGCCACAAGCCAGAATGAGATTATTAGAGTCCCTCAATTTTTCCGACTGAAGCCTGGACGACGTCTTTGAGCTGACGACATGCACGTACGACGTCATCGTTCACATCTTCCGCGCACTCGATGATATACGTAGCTGTTTCGTTGCCTAGTCCTATGGAAGAAAGTCAATTTCCAGATTAGTAGTCGTTCTAGCGAAAGGCAAGGTATAAAGAACAAAGGCAGACCTCGTAACTTCGACCCATGTGCTTCCCACAATGCAACAGCGCATTGGAGAGCGAATATTCGCACCCTCGTATCCTCCGAACGTGTATGTGATAATACGCCCGTGTTGAGAGTTTTGAGTGTGGAGTCATCGTCGAGACAGTCGAGAAGCGTAGTCAGACATGTAATGAGGACTTCTTTGCCTGATCCCGAGGCGAGCTTCATGTTGATACAAATCGGAACCTGAGAGGCTAAGGACGGCGTGACGAGAGCAAGTTTCGAGTCGAGCCAGTAAGCTGCGAGTAATTAAACAAGTGTCAGTTCTCTCGACTTGTGAGGAGAAGGACATAGTAGGTTGCTTGCCTCCGTCATCTACGACGAAACTCTTTGACAGCATCTCAATGGATGAGAGCCATAACGCCTTGTTGGTATTCTCGGCAGACGAGAAGGACTTAAGCAATTCGATAATGTGGGTAAGGACGAATGACGTATAAGGTGTCATTAGCTCCTGCAATTAGCGGATTAGTTACATAAACAATTCTCGATTTGATGCGCATGTGGTTATGAAAATACCTTGAAAAGATCTAATAGAGCCGTGTATTGCCTGCAGAACGCAATCTGCTTCTCCGGAGCTATATATCAAGGCTGAATTAGCTACCACACGTATTCGAGGATGAAGAATATGGCCGTACATGAGCTTTCACCAAACGCCCAATCACACGACCTCCTAAAGAGAGGCTGGAATGCGGTTTCATTGAGTTTTACAACTAACTCGACGTATGCTGCTATGATTTTGTCCTCTACCTACGTGAAATTTAATCGATCCCTTAGTTAGTCAGTGGGTGTGAAGAATAGATAAAGAAACTTACTGATAAAGCTTCGTCAGCCGTGAGGAGACTACGGACGTCAAAGGCTTGGAGGAAATGGTTAAAGAGGTCACGGAGATTTTCGAGCATGTCTGAGCGAGATGCGAAATGCAAGCAACGCTTGAGCAACTCGAAGAATCTGCCGTATCTAGAAGTCCCGTTCTGTCGATCAATACGTATCAGAATTTCGTTTAAGGAGTTTATAGACAGAAAAAAAGCATACGTGTCGTCTCAGTTCTTCGATAGACGGCCAACACTGAAGCAGAGATGACAGGAGGATCTTGCTTGGTAGTTGCTTCGCCAACAACTTGACGAGCTTCTCCGTGTTAGAAGATAGATTCTTCGAGACGGCTAGTTCTTCGTCTAGATAAAGGTCTATGACGAGCTTGATTTCTTGAACACCCCAGAATGACGGAATAGTTCGCAAGAGGCTATTGAGTGCGTACAGGCCTTGCACGAGGGATTCTGTAACGAATAAGTAATGATCTAAGCAAGAACAGAAGATAACCCACCGTAGCTCAATGCTTTGTCATACGACTTGACCAAAGTCACACAGGTGTCAACGAGCGAGCGAAGATAAGGGATAACCCGAGGTCCGAGTCTCGTTCTGTTTTCCTCGTCAACTAAGATCATTGCAACAATAACCGTAAAGACTTACGATAATACAGGAAGGACGGCAACAGCTTCGCAGATACCCGGATATTTCCTGACTATGTCGGTTATTACAGGAATCATATTCGTCAGCGCAGATTCCTCTTTCGCACATGACGTCGATCCAATGCTGAGGAGCGCCTTCATCGCTTCCGCTATTGTGGTTGTGTCTTGGAACGAGGGCACGAGATCCTTCATGCGAGTAACAATTTGAGCCATGGTCGACGAGATTTCCTCTCGGGCTTCCGTTTTTATGTCTGGTACACGCGAAGCAAGGAGGCTGAAAGCCGCTTGGTATATCTGGTCCAAATGTCAGCATTTATAAATAATTAGATAAGTGGGACAAATAAGAACCTGCTTGTTGTCACTCGAAAGCATCGACAATATAGTGGAAGAGAAGAATGAAGCTGAAATAACAGACATCGATTGGAAAAGCGCCCATTGTGCAGAGTTCCCGATCTCTTGAAGTTCTGTGCCACTCTTTTCACTTTGATCCAGTGTCGACAATTCCATCAATGAGGTAACGATCGTCTGGAGATCATCACTTGGGGCCTTCGCAAGCCGCGCAGCAGGAATTTGCTTGATACCGAAGCCAACGAGGATAAGTAAGGTCTGACATTGTCGCTTCCGGAGAGTTGAGGGTGACACGACTTGCTCTTCCGGGCTTATAACAGTCAGCGTTATGAATTTCCTGCCAATAGGTGAACAAAAACTCACGCATTCGCCTCAAGGAAGACAGTGGTATCAGATGCCGGTTGCTCAATTACCTTCACTAGCCTCCGTACTTCGTTGATAATTTCTTTACAAGCCTGGATCATATGATATCATGAGCAGTGCCTATGGATATATGCGAGAAACACTCACCGAAAGGGCGAGGTTTGGTGCGTAGTGTTGCATGACGCCGAGAGGAAGCGTCAAGGTTGTCTGCGCTTCCTGCTTCTCTTGTCGAGAGACACGGTTCGCTGACTTATCCGCCAGCAGCATTAGTATAGGCGCAAGATAGTCCGTAGGATTCAACACGTCAATAAGATGTGTGAAGAAGCTGGATAAAACGAAGCACAATTAATAATTATGAGAGCAAAGTTGGCAGGAGGTTGTACTGACCTGGTCCGACGATGGCGCGGGACGTGAGTTGAAGCATCAGTGAATGTCCGAAGTAGGTCTCTTGAGCCAACGTAAAGGTCAAGGGCGCTGTCATATTTCTCCTTCAAAGAAGCGATTGCTACTGGAACAATACTCTCGATTGTCTATATGCGTGATTGTCGGTTAGTAAACAATTATCCCAAAGGACATATCAATCAACTTACTTTCTGAATTACCTTAAAGCTGTACGAATCGTCACGATGGAATACGTTCGATCCCATAAAGGTGAAGATGGGCATGACGTTGTGTAAGACGGATGCAGGAGATAGTCTTGCGAGCGATGCCATTAACAGAAGCGCCTGGTTGAACGTTTGCGGGTTCTCAGATGCTAGAAGGGCAAAGTGAGTTTTGGATTGTGATGTCAGAAAATGAACTGCATACTTCGCATGAGTTCTACTAGAACATCGACTCTGACTGCGTTCGGCGAAAGTGTCGGAAGCTCCTGTTGCCACGTCAGTTATACAGAATGAACGGCACCGTAGTAGACACTGTACCTGTATGTGAGAGACAGCGGATTCTAAGCATGTCATCAAAAGCTGCTGCGCATATATAATATCCGCGCGAGCAGCAGTGGAAGAAGCGACTCGACTTAAAGCGTCAAGTAGAGCAGAGACGAGGTCGAGTGAGCCTGGTAATTTCTGAGAAGACAGGATCTCAGCTAAGAAAGCAAGACGTGATAGCGAAGTGCTCTCGGAGTCCGACGATGGCCTTGAAAATACCAATACGTTCAGTATGCAACCTTTTACGCTACAGAATACAGACGTACTCGTCTGTCTTGGCCCGTTTGCGAACACGATCACTCGTATCTTTGACATCCGGTTGCAAAGATTGCAGCAATGAAATCATGAGGTTTGGTTTCTTCACGCATTGTGTGAGAAGGTGCTTTATCCCATCCTAAATAAATCGGTTGGTGAAGAACGTTGTATGGCACGAGACAGATGACATTACCTCGTTCCCACTTCCACTTCCAAGCTCAATCAGAAGAAGACTAATTTCGTGTTGCCGCTTCACAGAGAGAGCAGAGAATAGGGAGTCCTTGAGCGTTTTGCAAAGACATGTCCATTGGTCCATCACGGCTCCTTTACACATTTATGAGCCACGCAGCAGCCGATCACTAGTCCTCTGCTACTCACCGTTACTGAAGTAGTGCTTCACTGCACGCTTAAATACAAACCACGCACTACTGTCCTCTGGGTTAACTTCTTTCGCCGAAGAGCTGTCGAATGCCTCCAGTGCATACACCTGCAGCTCTTTCTCATCTCCAGTGGAGATTGGTGATTCAAGAGCCTCTTCGATAATAGGAAGAAGCATTTGAAGCTTCACAGTATCCGAGACCCGTCTTAGCGACTTCAAGATGGCCAGTCGGATGGTCGGGGAGGGGCAGCACACTGCGTGCGACAGCATGTAACAGAGAATCCGATGCCTTTGTCTAGGAAGGAGGAAAACGTTCGTGTAAATAAAATTGGGCGGTGAGATTTGAAAACGTGAAATATCTTACTTCGCGTCTTTCTTGTTCTCTGCTTTCGAACGGGACAATTGCTCGTAATGGAGCAATTCAAGATGTTGGGAGTCGTTCACCAAGTGATCTCGGTATTGAACAAGTAGGTTGAGGTAGTTGGACTCATCAGCCCAGTCGAGATATTGCAGGCGAGCTAAGAATGAGGAAGTCAGTCAACGTTAATGCAGCATCTTCAAAGAACAATCATCAGCTTACCCGACGCGGCACCGTACACACGGTCATACGCATAAACAGAACCAGGCTTCGACGCGACAGACAAGCCTGCCATACTTGCAACGCACTCCATCGCCGCAGCACGAACACGTCTATCAGACGCTTGTAATGCAGCAAGAAGAGCCGGAAGAACAAGTTGAAAGTCGATTGGCTTATCCGTAGACTGTGCACGAAGGAACGCTGAAGCATGCCGGAGCGCAACGTAACTTATTGTGTTGGGATCGGCACCCTCAATCATCTCGGGTGATACCCAAACACTCGCCAGGAACAGTAAGGATTCGGAGCCGAATGTTTCGAATAGAGCGTGGTTGGAGCGTGATACGAAATTGAGGTTTGAGGAGATGGCGTTTATAGTTGTGTAAACTACTCTCATGAGACGCAGGTAACGGGCACTAATCTCTTCGTCGCCGGTCTGGAGAAAAATAAGGATGAGTAAACGCAGAGATATTAGTGTTATTTAACTCACATTTTTCGACGATGAGAACCAATCGAGCGACCTATTTTGCGGAATCGGAGTCGCGGCAAGAGAGCATAGAATCATGAGTTGCAAACGCCGTGCAGTTGCACGACTACTAGGTTTTAGTACAACATGCTTCAAAGCTGTCTCCTCATCCAGTGCATTTTCGTCATCGCCTATCTTGTCCGAGCCGTCTAGACTCGACGGATTCATTGTTTGTAGGACATCGAGTGCTGCGTCGATGTGATTCTCGCCAGACAAGTTCGTAAGGAGAGCGCGCGAGATGAGGAGAGAAAAAAGGCGAGTATGGGCGTCGGTGCCTTCGGAAATGTTCTTGAGCAACCATGTGAGAAGTATGGAGTAGTCATTCGAAGTTTTAATGTTCTCTGAGAAATTCATTAACATGAAGAAAAGTTAATGTCTGGTGTAAAACGCACCAGCAAGCTTCTTCGTCAAAGCATTGTTCGTCTCCGCTACGTCATCACCGCACTTCTCAATGATATCTCTCGTACCGATGAAGAGTTTATTTTCACCCAATCGAGACGCGACTACGACTTCCCATACGGCTGCTGCAGTTTTACCGCGCGGCTTTGAGAATAGTGCGTTTGGAAACACGAGAGTAAGAGCGACTTGTACAGTGTGCTCCGGATGCGTTGCAACGAAGGCATTGCAGAAAAATGTGAGGTGCGATCGCAACACTGCACGAGACACGTTCTGCTCCGTAAGGAAGGTAGCGAGTTTTGATAACACATCTGCAGAGTTCGCAAGTAAGGGGAGAAAGACTTTGGAGTCTGCATACAGTGCGTCAAGAACGACGGTGCTTGTGTCGTACATGCGTCCCATCAGTGCTTCTTGCAGAGTTGACCGTTCGTCAGCGTTCAGCTCCTCCGAATTGTCTGCTAATAATTCTACGATGCGTCTAACTGCATTCGCCCGTACGGTCGGATCAGCATTGGAGGCGGCGAGAACGACGTCCTGCGGAGCCTTGCTGGTTCCGTCTGGCTACGAATATAAATACTTGCAATTTAACGAATTTTTTCTTTCTAGGGGAGGAAAAGCCGTACCATAGCAAGCGTCATCAACGTTCTATCCAGTTCCGATTTTCTCCTCTCGTCTTCCTCAGTAAGACCTTCGGCAGCAGATCGTAGTAGATCTGGATATCGCTGATAAAGCCCGGAAAGGATTTCTGAGCTCTCGGATGAAAGCAGGAGTCTCTTTGAGAGATGCAAAAGGACATCTTTTGGAGTGCGCTTTGAAATAAGCAACAACTGCAGAACGGCCGTATTGGTTTCGTCTTTGACGTTCTCTACCAATCTGCCTAGCAAGGGCAAAATCAGCTTTTCGACACCAGACCACCCTAGTGATGCTTTTAATGCGTCCGTGAAGTCCCTAACGATAAGTCAGTATTATAATTATAGGGTATGATGAAAGAGACGCACGGTAAAGCGATCATCTCATCAACAACCCTCGGAGAAACGGTATCTAATGGTGCTTGCGGGCCAAGGAAAGATATAGTCGCGGTGAGGAGCTGATACGCTCCAATTGAAGAAGACGCAGCAGCGCAGTGAACCATCCCCGACATGACCGTTTTCACGGCTGGTACAGTAAATGTGCATTTCTGAGAGAGTGCGGCAAGGAGTACGAAACTGCCGAGCTATCTAAAGTCTTAGTGAAATGGTTTGCAGAAGGAGTAATGATTGCTTACGATAGCATCCTTGCGCAATTGCTGTGAAACAGAGGCATGCGTATCCTTGAGGGGCTCCGTTAATGCTGGTAAAAGAAACGCGAGTATCGGCGCGTCCAAGTCCCTTTTCTCTGCGCGCGTCACGTACTCCAGTACTACCGAAGTGTTGAAACATATGAGTGTACGATGAACATTCCTACCACTCGCGGTGGATAATGTTTCGGGAAGTAACGAAACGACAAAACGTGTAAGCTCCCTGTCTCTCAGCATTTCCGTTACAAGTTCATTTCGATGTACCGGTTTGCCGGATGCCTTGTATGCGGATAGGAATCTCCACGGCGTACTATCGTCTACTGTTGAAATGAACACCATCTTTGCGAAGTGCGGTGACTCGTGGTATGGAAGGAAGAGGGCAAGGACGTCAGGAACGTTAAACTCGTTTACGCGAAAACGCCGGACAAGCCATTCTATTATTCGCCCTGCGGTATTCTCCATCAGACATGTACCCAGTGCGCTGAGGCAGCTTTTGAGCGCAGCGTTCAATTCCGCAAGATCATCCTTCGCCAGAAGCGTCCTGTCCGTCTCTCTTGCTCGCTGTGAGAATAGTAATCGATACTCCTGAGACTGCTCGTCAAATGCTGCTACGGAGGGGTAGATGTGTCTAAGTTGAGCCAATGCATTCAAGACTAATGCATGAATTGAATCAAGATCGTCTATTTGACCCTTCGTCGAAGCGGAAAAGAGGTACGAAGATGATGCGAAATGCTTTTTGCGGGCAGTCTCAGAGAGCAGAGGAGCATTTAGGGACACGCCCTTCGCAAGCTGAGATGCGAGAGCCGTAGGCATGGCTATCACGAAGCTCGATAAGATGAAGCAGGAATGTTCTAAGCCGCTGCAGAAGCAGCAGAACGTCTGCACTTTTGTGCCCAGAAATTTTGGAGGAGCATTGAGCGTCGATCGTTCCGCGATCACGTGTGATCGGCGGTCTACCCCACCATACCGCGTTCGCGTCTGTTTCTCGACCCAAACCAGCCCTGTCGACGATTCCGGGCGCGAACAGGCTCCTTTCCACTGTTCGAGACGGCTGCTGGGACTTTCAGAGTAACGAATAGCTGCGAGGCAACCTACCGGTCCGATACGAGGCAAATCGTGCACTGCTGATTAAGGCCTTCTACGTATCGGATACCAATCATACAACATGGCGAAGGAGATGTCCGAAAACAAGACAGAAAAGCCGACTACCGAGAAAACTCTTGAAAAGCGTATCGAACATATCAAAAACAAGCGACGCGATCGGGGCGGAATATTCCAGCCACAAGAACATAATCCACTCATAGAAATGCTCATGTCCCGTGATGTCTCTGGTCGCTCACCGTCGAAGGCGCGGATAAAGCCACGAAAATCAGTTGTTGGGAAAGGATCACGTAGAAGCAGCTCTAGAGAGATATCCCCTCTGGAAGCTCGAGCCGCATACAGACGCAATTCAACTGCTCATCAGGCATTACCTTCGGTGGCCAGCAAGGATCGAAGGAAGAGTACGGCTCCATCAAGTAGAACGAGCAGGGAAGCCGCTCCGGAGCATGCTAATACTATTTCCAAAACACACGGAAGGGCAAAGCGTATGTCCGCGAAAGACGCTTGCATAAAGATTCAATTAACACGTTCGTGGTTATCTCTTCAGCTTCTAGCACATCGAGAACCTCTTCAAAGCGTTTAGAGGTTTCTGATGCTTCTAAGAATAAGTCATCAGGTGGGTACATATCCTAAGTCTATCTCTGCGATGTTGACCAAGCAAGATGAACAGTCTCATCATCCAAACGGCGGCGAGAAGAAACAGAACTCGAGACAGACGAACACGATACCGGTTACGATACTCCCTCCCCTTCTAAACGACTCAAAAAATCCGCCGTACCGTTGCCCTCCGCTTCTACTACGGCGAAATCTGCCACGACATCTCGATCCGCCCCTGCCAAGTCAAAAAGCAAGACAGCCACCAAAGAAGCATCTCATGCTGAGCGATCCGATCATGACGAGGACATGGATGAACCACCTCCTCAGAAATCGAAGCCTAATTCAACGACAAAGAAAAGAGGGAGACCAAAGAAGATCGTGGATAATTCTGATGTCTCCGAAGTACCATCTACTTCAAAAGCAAAAGCCAAACCGAAGCGTGCTCCAGCATCCAAGCCGCCGAGTAACAAGTCTGGGCCTACAGCAAAGCAGGGAAAGACAACAGCAGGGAAGTCAAGAAAAAAGACTATCTCGGTTGATGACGACGAGCCTCAGGGGAAGACTAAGGGGAAAGGAAAGAAGAAAGCTGAACCTATCCCGGAACCCGATATCGATTCCAACTCTGAAGAGGAGACAGATTATCGATTGAAGCTTCCTAAATCGCGTCTTGAGACCGTCGTTGAAGAAGATGAGGAGGTAGAAGAAGAAAGTAGTGGTAGGAATCGGAAGGCAATTACCAAAGGCGCTGCAACGTCGGGTAAGGGAGCGTCGACAGTATCGAAACCAGGAGCATCCAGCGCCTCGGAGGTACGAAGGCGGAAGCAACATGTAGAGGACGACGACATTGATGAACGGCAGTCTCGGGATAAGATTCCTACTCGAGCTGGGAAGTCAAAATCGCAAGCACCTTCTCGTTTAAAAGCATTAACGGACGTTGACAAGAAAGACGGAATAGAAAATGAGAACCCTATTTCTACCTCACCACCACAAAATCCAAAGGCTACTTCGTACGTCTTCCAATATTTTCTCCCAATCATTATTGTTATTCACAACTAGAATTCTCCCCAGGTCTAGATCCAAACCTAATTCCGCAAAAGCAACGAAAACAGGTAGTGCATCCGGCCCAGCCTCCAAATCAAAACCAACGTCCAAATCAAACACAAAAAGAAAACGACCTGGAGCTGACCCTGCTCCATTCCCAAAGTCCAAGTTCGCAAACCTCCCTACGACCGTGTTCAACTCACCTATCAAGGCTGCTGGTAACTCAGATGACGAACTCGACTTTCTGTCATAGGCCCCGGAGTTCAACACAGACTAACAACTAAGTTCGTCCTTGCTGCTTATTTTCGTGTCCATTTACTTGCTTTCTTGTTCGTTGGCATACCTGTATGATTTAGGATTAAGTTATTCCCTTCTATACTTTCCTCCACTATCACAACATTTTCGCCCTATTTGTCGCATGTGCATATTGTAGTACAACTAGACGTCATCATCTTCACAAGGACTTGTACACTTATTTGGGGATGTTTTGTAATAGAAAGGAAAGCATGGATGTACTTTATCAGTTCAGTAATAATTTCATAATAGACATCTTTTCTGCATACGTTTTCGTTTGATCGTTCATGTCTTACATTTTTATACTTCATCATTTACACTTATTAAGGAAAAGAGAAAGGAATTAGTCAGGTCGAGTTGTCTAGAGTAGATGGGCTGATATACATATTGTCGTTATAAAGAAAAAGAAAGGGACAAAGAAAAGCAACATTGATGCATTCAATTCGAGATGCAAAGAAGTAAGAGTCAGAGTAACAGAGTGACGAACGAGGTGGGTACAGTCGGAAGGGAGTGAGCGGTGAGTGAAACGAACGACAAAGAAAGAAAAAAAAATAGGTCTATTTTCGCAAAGCTCCAGTAAGTAAGTAAACAACTAAATCTCCAACCAGAAGAACAAAATAATATTAAGTATGAACAGAATAAATCAGATATGCACGAAAGTTAACAAAAAAAAGCGAAGACACGAAAAAACAAACAAAAGGAAGTATGGGAATCAAGTCTTCTTGAAGGATCGAGGAACGAGCACGACATACACATATCATAACTCCCTACGACTAGACGCAGGTGGCTCGTCCCACCTCGACCGTTTCGACGGAGATGCGACATCACCTCCACCCCTGTCAACACTCATATTCATCCGTATGTCCCCGTCAGCATCTGCTACGCCAATCGACACATCTCGCCCAACAACCGCAACAGCAGGACCGGGTCCCTGACCGTTCGCGTCCGACAAAGGTGAAGGGTCGCCTGATTTCTCGTCTTCGTCTTCTCCTTCATTATCATTCTCATTGTCGTCGTCTGGCCCGAGGTCGAGTGCGTCTTCCACGCTCATCATCAGTCCCGACTCTTGGGGTGTGGAGCCGTTGGTGTTGGGTCGTGAGCTGCTCGCAGAACCTAATCCTGAACCGGAGCCGGAAGGTTTCCCTGGTCCACCCACTTCGCCGTTGCTGTTCTTCTTCTCGAGTTTCCTAAGGAGCTTCGCGATGTATTCCTTAGCGAACTTCTTAATCTTCACGACTTTCTCGTCCGAGAGTGCGTCTAATTTACCAGATTGGTATGAGCTGGATTTCTTCTCTTTGTCTGCGATGATGCACGTAAGCTATTATTAATCCATAAAAAGCATTAGTTCTCTCGAACTTCAAGTTTATAAGCGATAGTAATTGGAACAGACTCACTTCCTTCGCCTTCTTCTTAAACGTCTCATGATCCAGCTGATCCCTATGCTTACTCAAACACTTCACAACAACAGCCCCAACCAACTTCTGCAACCTCTTCTCCTTCAACGCTTCCTTCTCCTCCGTCGACATATGTTTCTGCTTCGCCTTCTCCTTCGCTCTTCGACTCTTCCTCTCTGCCTCTTTCTCCTTCTCTGCCTTCTCAGCAGCAAGTCTCTGTTCTTCAAGTTTCCGCGATTCTTCAGCTTTGCGTTGCGCATTGGCGATAATGGACGCTGCGTCCAACCTCTCGTAGGATACATCTTTATCCTTGTTTTCCTTGTAATTTCTTGCGAACTCATCCCACCAAGATTCTTTCTCTGGCTTTGTAGAAGTCTCTCCTTTCTCCCCCTCCGTACTGCGCGGTGGAGGAGGGACGTTCTTCCGACCTAGAGGCTTCAACTTCAAACGCGCGAGGAGCTCCGAGTTGGCTGCTTCGTTGTCTTGTCCCTCGGATGCGGTCTTGCGGAGTTTTTTGTGTAGGGGTTCTGATGAGAAGGTGATTACGTCGGGGATTGTTGGTGTGTTTGGGTCGTCTCCGTCCTGTTGTACGATAGTTATGTCAGTTATGGGTAGGAGGTATTGGATATGTTGGCTTACTGCTTTAAGGCGCTTCGGTATTCGGTAACCCGTTTCTAAAGACGACCAGTGTTCTAAGAGCTAAGGGAAATAGCCATAGTCAGGAAAAGCGAAAACAACCATAAGCATTTATTGAGGAAAGATAGAAGACTTACCTTCTTCGCCGAAGTCCTAATACCCTCATTCTCATGCTCCGCAAGTGCACCAACCGGTTCCTCAATCTTAGAATCCTCAACCTTATTCCGCTGTAATAAAGGCCAAGTCGACAAGCTTTCCAGGACCTAATTTATTTTTATTTAAATTAGTTCATAAATGCATTCACACGAGTAAGACATAATCGGGCCGCTTACCATAGTGCAGATATCGACGTCGGAAAGGTTATCATCGAGGATGTTACACATTAAGCTATACCCACGTAACCGCATGAGTTGACGTAGTGCGGGCTGGTCGTCTGTCATCTATACCATTCATCAAAGAAAAGAAAAACCAAATTAATCAGAAAACCAAAAACAATAGACACGGTTCATTCATTCCTATGATGGGTATTCTTACCTTGATACGCGAAAGAAGCTTCAACAACACCTTCCTACTCTGAGTCTGCCTAATAGCCTGTACGACTTTCGGAATATCCTTCTCGACCAAAGGTTTAAGGACAGGTACGTAATCCTCGTCCAATTTCCTGCCTTTCTTCTTCTTGCTGCCTTTGAGGCCGTACATCTCGACTTCTTCGCTAATTCCAAGTGCTAAAGTAGAAAAAACATATCAATATCATCGCTGCATTGTAGGTTTGTATGGAAATGTAGGGAATGTAAGTACCGTCGAGGTAAAGATCATCCATAGCAGCAACGTCCGTCTGTGTCTTCCCACCAAGTACACCAACGCAATTCGGTTCACCACAATAACATGGCTGTGCATCATGTCTAATAAAAAAAACCAACCAACCAACTCATCAGCACAAAAAAACAGCGAAACGATCTGACGTTTGAAATACGAACCCATATCGATCAACATTATAATTAAACGTCAACTCTTCATCCTTCTTAATATTCCTCTTCGCATAGATACCCATTCGTACTCGGTCCCCGACAGTCCATTTCGCGACGTAGCAGTTTGGGTTACAGCTGTGGTTTGCGAAGCGGCCTTTTCCACCGCGTTTTGTTGCGTCGATGAACTATAATTAAAAAAAAGAGTACAGCGAAAAGGATAAGGGAGTAGAAGTTAGCAAGGAAATGATGAGGAAAATTTCTGAATAGCGGAATTTGAGTGTGAGTGTGAGTGGCGTACCTCATCCTTCTGCAACATCATAAAATAAAAATGTCGGATCCCTTCCTCCGCATATTCACGCATCCGTTTCGCAAATGACGGTTGACTAACGACATCACCGATGTACTCATAAATAAACGCATCTCTAAAGGTATATCAGTCCTGCGGGGAGTGGAATAAAACAAGCCACGTTATCACACTGACTTGGTGATGTCTGACCCGGCACGGAGCCCAAAACCTTTCTTTTCTGTTAGGACGATCTCTACGTTTGCGTATTCTTTGCGTTGTAGCCTTTAAGACGAGTGACATGTTGGTACGTTGTGTGAATTTTTGATTGAAGAAGGTGAGGAGGAAGGGTGAAGGGTACGTACCGTTGATTCCGACAGTACCCTCTACATCGACAATCGCCCTCCTCGCACTCGACCTGCGTCAGTCTGTTTATACAGTCGGAGCCATAGCCGCAAGCCATCTCTGGGGCGTCTCTACCTGCATGTCCAGAAAGCAAAGCAATAACCTAAGCTAAACTAATTCTCTATGCCAGACTCTCTCTCGGAGAGAGACTCCTAACCCCTCAAAATTGTGAAAAAAAACTAACCTGGGACGAACTGACAATCACACGTCATACTCTCAAGAGCCTCTCTAGATCTCCCAAGCGTAGAATACTGATAATAATTCTCCTCCAACTCCTCAAACGTCCGCATAGCGCTCTCCTCCGCACGTGGGAGGTCTCCGACGAGTTGTGGACCTGGTTTCTGTTTTGGCATGGTGGGTATGGGAGTTGATGATGAGCGCGAGGGTGTGTCGACCTTTATGGACGTCATGGCACTCGGCGCTGGCGAGACGGAGAGCTTCATGTCCTCGTCGAGTAGCTCGTCTTTCGGCGTGGGAGGTACCGAGGTAGACGGAGAGCGTTTCGGCTTTACGTCGGCCATGTCGACGTCTCGCTCTTCGACTTTGGGCAGCACAGCTGTGGCGGCCATGATTACAACAACACAGAGGTACGAAAGCAAGAGAGAACGGCGTCTGAGAGCTGAAGACGCGGCTGAAGAACTGAGTCGAGGGAAGTCTCTCTCCTTCTGTGCAGCACTGGTCGCCTAAGGAGTCACGGCTTGATTTCTTGACTTTTAAGACAGAAACACAGATTTGGCGGCCTCGCGCTTGATTAGTGGTGAATATGGCAAGAAGAGATGCTTGCTCTCTGCCAGGACCTGTTATTATATTGCATTAAATAAAATGTTAGAAAATAAGTGTGATTAAATTGGGTGTGTGCTTACTTACATGTGCGCGTGTAGTCAAGTTTCAAGCCAAGACTCGGCGCGCCTTGATTGGCCGTCTCTTGCCTCCGACCGAAAAACTTGCACTTGATCTGCACTGTACACTGCTTTGGCTATCATTTCTACTCTACCCTACGCTGGCATTTATCTGCTCTTTATAATATTATATACGTTGAGGTGATGGCGCCCCAGACAACTAGCAAAAAGCGGAAACGTGCAGACTCGTCCGCTGATCAAGTAACAATTTCCGTTTTCGACAAATCTCCTTCCGCTGTTGGTCCTATCCTTGGTATGTCTCTATTTCTCTCTCGTCATATAAGCACAGTACTAAAGTGGCTTTTAAGCTAGCTTTCCAGCACTAGATCCATCTAAATCCGCAGCATTCGCTGCGTACGCACCGCCGCAATCTCCAAGCAAAACTAACGGAGCTGCAAACAAAAATGCAGGGCGTGAACAAGAATTTTCTCGGAGACCATTACTTGTTGCTGGTGAGACGGATGCCATAGAATTCCATTCGACAGGCGAGAACGAAGCCGTACGAGGTGGAAGCAGGTCCGTTTCCGCTCTCTCATCCAAGTCAACATCGACCTAACACAAATTAATTCTTAACGCAGATACCTAATAGGCATCCACAACAAACGCACAAACACGCTCCTCCTGCGTCCCGCACCTCTCCAAATTCTCGGCAGACGCGTAAAAGCACTCAAGAACCTCGCTCCAGCTCCCTCCACATCCAGCACAGAACGCATTGAACAGCGAAATACACTAGGTGAGATGTTCGGAACGCGTAAGGCACAGAAGGCTATACGTACCGCGGAGCGGAATCGCGTGGACGTGGATGCTATGGAGGGTGTTGTGGGACATATTCAGGAGAGTGTTGAGAGTGGGACGAGGGGTTTGCCTAGTCAGGGTGTGTTTCATTTCTTATTCCTTATACCATTTACATTTCCATCTGCATTTGATATTGATAACCCTTCGCCTTACTTTAACTTAACTTAATGCAGAAGAAGCAAAAGAACTCGCAGACTCCACACGCCAAATCCCGAAATTCAACCTGCACGCAACGAAACCAGAGGACGTATACAAACTATATGACATCGTACCCGAATCCGAGTTGAACGCACTGCCCATTAAGGAAATCATGAACGCAACTTCGCAAGAGGAGCGTATGAAGTTCGTACCGTTCTCTCGATCAGACTGGGTTCGTCAGCACGTTGCGGCGATTTTTGAGGGGACGAAGACTAGTAAGAGGTCGTTGTAAGCACAACCTCCCTTTCCTTCTTCATTTTGAGGTTGGTTAGAGGAGTATTGAAAGGAATGCGGTGTTTCCCTTATTGCAGGAGAATCATACTTTACATCGCATGCCTCCTCGTCTTCCGAATGGGTGCAGTCCGATATTGTAACAAACGGGAAGACCTCGAAGAGCGTTTACCAGGTATACCATCTAACGTTATCGATGGTATTTATTCTCGATTTACAGAGACTGTACGAGGGAGTTCTCGGTGCGCATCCTCTACTTATTTTCTTCATCTTTGTTCGAAGTTTCAGCTGCTGACGACGTCTGTTCGCCTATTGTACGGTTGTATCTTTGTACTTTAGCGTGCAATTCACGAGCGACAACGCCGTACGGCTCTTAACACATATCTTCGCATTATGTCTGCACGTCGATAACTTTGCGACCGATACGACGTTGATCGCTGCGGACTTGCGGGAACCTGTAACGAAGTACGTACAATTTTTTTAATTTTTTAATTCAATTATTCATTTCTCTCTCTTCCTTTTTCTTAATGTGTCTTATTTTCTAACTCCTTTGGCGTAATATTTAATAGGATCAACCAGCATTTCAAACTCCTCGGTAAGTCGCAGCTTTTCAACTCTACATACCAGTCATCTATCTGTGTTACTTCGCGCTAATTTTGGTCTGATCCATCGTAGGCTGCAAGATCGAGAAACTAAGCACAGTAGAGATGAGCCGACTCGGTTTGAGTGCATCGGGTGCAGAGCATAAACGTGCTGTGTTACGCGTTCCGTTGGAGTTCCCGAAGGCGAGGATGAAGAGAAGGAATTGAAGGGAAAGTAGATCGTATATGTGACCTTCTGTCGCTCGCAGTGAGCGTTATAAGTATGAATTTAGCATTCTACACAGATAATCGTTGTTCGGTGAATCTCAGGTATAATATGTCATGAGCTTTTACACATCGTCATCCACGTAGCACTCATACTCGTTAAATAGGTACCTCGATGCATTTAGTATTTTTTCAACTCATGCATCAGTACCAATATTTCTCATGGTTGAGTGTCAAATAGTCTAGATGCAGGATACAGTACCACGACGAAGAGTATTCCTTCTACGGAGTGATACTAGCAGCATTTTGTCCTCTCATTATAAATTATTTACACTGGAATACTGTTGAGAAGTAAAGCTTTTCTCATTAACGAGTGAACAGAACTCGATACAACGCGACGATCCTACAGATACAAGAAAGTCGTCCTCATATTAATATTTCACTGGTACAGTGAACAAGTGCTGCAGAGGGCAAGGCTCTGGCAAACTTGGCACTTTGCTGGCAAGAAGTGGAAGCCAACAATCTGCTGCACGGATCTCTAAGAAGTCTTATAGCCAACATTAATATTCATGCCCTCCACTCATAGGATAAGTGTGAAGTAGAACTGTGCCTGGTCTGCCAAGTGCAATATTGCTCCTATTTCTCTGATCCATCATCAAAATCTGATCTCACTAGTATGACCTTTGTATACAAACCAAACTCAATTATGACTTCTCCTAGATAAATTATTACAATTTTGCAGGTTCATGTCAGAATTAATACTAATGAAAATCCTAAGTATTCTTTCCAACACATCAAGTAATGTAATATAATCATTGATATATTAGCTTCATGTTACTTCTTTGTCTGATATTTCAAACATGTGATAATTTAGTATGTAATTATACCTGTTTAAGATACTGATACCAACTCTGAAGTCAGTCTCTGGTTGTACAAGAGAAATCTAGTCTGTGTAATGTGTAACATTGTATGTTGCTCTCTTGATAAATTGTCTATTAGTCTGTACTATGTATATAGTACTGTTGATAGAATCAATAATTACATAACTTATTTTGCTCTAAAATCCTGTTCTGTAGAAATATATAAAGAGTGAATAAAGAGATAAACCTTCATTACATTGTCCTACATACAAGCATGTCTCAAAGCAAGCAAACAGATTCTAGAACAAGCTCTACTACAGAACAAAAAGAGAAAGAGCAAAAACCTTGTACAGAAGAGTGGAGAGGTGTGAGAGCTTCATGGACAGCTAATGATGAGTTTGGTAGTAAGGATTTCTCACAGTTCACTGAATCATTGAACAGAGTCAGAGAGTGTGTGACCAGAGAGGAAAAGAAGAAGGATGGACAAGTAGGAAATACAGAGATTAAGAAATAGAATGACAGTTAATAATAATAGAGACATTCATCTGTCTTGAATATATTATGTAGAAACATAATAGACACATTATAGTCCATCCAACTGAATACTATTATTACTTACCTAAATCAAAATTGACAATGCTAGATAATATTCACAATAAGATACAATAAAAATTAATAGATGAGATAATTGCTAGAGCTGTGTTATAAACCTAACATAAATATCTGAACATCCACAAATATACAGTAAGTGTACAGACACATAAGACACTACAATGTTTTGGAGCATTTGAGTTGAAGTAACTACTGGACAGTAAGAATATTACTAATTAGGCATTAATATTGTTTCTTAGTATTGTAACATAAATAGTGAATTCCTCAACTCTACACTAAGCAATACTTATGTTCTCTGTCAACAACAGTAACTGCAGAGTAGTACTAATCTAGATCAATCTCACAACCAGTTTTCTGAGTAATTGTCAAATCTGATCCTACCAATATGAGTATTGTATCAGACTAACTCCAGTTGCAACTATTCCTAGAAAAATTGTTGCAGTTTTGTAAATGTACATTCAGAACAGATATCAATAAATGTTATAACTATAGTTTTCCAACATATAAAATGCAATATTATTATTTCTGTCTCTGAATTGTAGATATGACATAATGTTACTTGCAATTTTGCTGATGTTGTATACTACTGTCTACTCTGAAGCATGTCTCTGATTGGACAATGAAATTATACAATGTATAACATTTGTCATACTCACAATGAATTGTCTAGCAATGTCTGCTATATATATAATCCTATTGATGGTAACAACAGTTATTTATTTTACTTTGCTTTGAAATTTTCTCTTTAGTTATATATAAAGAGTGAACCAAGAAGCAAACCCTTATTGCATTCTCCTTAAATACAATATGTCCTCAAGACATGCTTCAGACTCTAATGATAACTCTGGTAGTAAGAAAACAGAGCAAGAAAACACTCACCGGCGACGCTGGAAAGATTATATTATTTTCGACAATGACTCGAACAAGCTTGACGAGCGTACCTGCACAGAAGAAGACAAAAGGAAAACAGAAGCATTGTCAAAGGTACAAGAGAAGAAAGAGGGTGAATGACCATTAGTATTAAAACTAGAAATGAATGTTTGACTGTTTTGCACGTATATATTGTGTACAAATGGAAAGATACATAGCACACTAGTATATTTGACCGAATGATACTAGTGCTCGCCTGAATTGAATTGATGCCACGAGAAATACATTCACACTGTTAAAGTGATGAAATTGGCAGATGAGATGAAAGTAGCAAACTGTATCATATAAGCAACAAACCAAGCAAGATAACACTGTGCTTGAAGATACTTTTATTAGTTACCATATCAGCTATTTAAATACAGCTAAGCCATATAAGAGGGAATTTGAAGTCTCGAGCCAGCTGAAATCATCAATGGCAACAATATAGTATATTGTGTTGTAAAGCACAAACATCACCGAAGCGCCTAGTAAGTATTATGAGTATGACATCCGAGCACTTGATGTAAGTGTGTGGAGGGGATCAAACAAGGATCAACAAGAGACATATCCTATACAGTAATACAAAGCTTAAATGTCGATGACTCAGAGTCAGACACTGGGTATACAACGGGATTACTTCGAAAGCTAAGCCTGTTGGCTATCACTTGAGACCCGATTCAGAGTGAAAGTGAATTACAGTATATGCATATGTATATGAGTGGCTTCGAAGTGACCAGAAAGCGAGAGACATATTCCACTACTACTAATTTAATTCATTGAATCCGATTCCAAGCCTCTTCAATGGACCAGTAAGGTAATGAGTTGTGTAATGGCCCAGATATAGCAAATGTAAATTAACTAGCCAGAAGTGAGGTTGATCAGAGGGACCTGCAAAGCAGTGCAAAAATGCCAAAGAAGATTAGGGTAGGACTGTGGACGTCCGAGTCACTGATACTGTAAGCATGGACGATGCTAGGAATTGCAAGATACGTCACTAATGAGCATGCATTTTATTATCAGTCACTGAACACCTGACATACACATATGAAGGAAATGCAGAAAGAAAATGCATCTATAGTGTATCTACAATACAGTCTATTATGTTAATGACTAGGACACGATATAAGTGACGAAAGTCGATTCACAAGCCAAGACGTCGATGGTCGTCCGGAATAGAAGTGAATGATAATACAACACGGACGTGACTTCAAGGTGGATTTGAAAGCAGAGACTCCTCCCGCTGATTCATCCACGATTCCGATTGAGAAGCTGATAAGGCAATTGAAGTGCTGTATGACGCATCGAATGTACAGCAAGAGTCGATTGGTAAGACGAAGTGAAGGACAAATGATGCGATCAACCTTATTTAGAAGGCGATGCCGTGTGCCGTCCGTTAAACGCGACCTGACATTGACTGTGCTGACTGACTCCGTCTTTCATTCCAACTGCGCAAGTCGTGCAACCTTGTGGTGCGGTGCGGTAGTCATCAACGCACTTCCCATCGTCGACCGACGTTTTCGCATTTTGCTAAGAGTGTGTGTCGTGCAATAAAGTGTGACGTTGCGGATGTTGCGTGGAGACACGTTTGCATGAGGATGAGCAAGATATTTTTAAATTTTTCTTTTTTTTCCTTCTCACTCACTCACTCACTCTTTGTATTCAGACAGGTGCAATTAGCTGAAAATTGGCCAAAGGGGCAGCAAATGGAGATCAATTTTTCTGTCTAACTTGCCTATTTCTCTAGTCAATCATCAGGACCTTTGATCTAACTAATATGAACTTTGTACAAAGTAAATTCAGGTACAACTTTGGCTTTCTAATGTCAAGAAACATGATGTAATCAGTTATACTCTACTTCATGTTTGAAATAGATTGCTCCTATGTTAGAGACTGTTACTGTGTTATAATATAGTATGTAATATTACTCAGAATATGTGCATAATACTATATTAAAGTAAGTATCTAACTGGATAAGAAGGATATGATTTACAAAGTGTTTGCCATTTTATAAGGGGTTGCTTAGCAACAATTGCTATACACATAACAACTGTTGATAGAATCAAGGATCACTTGTTGCATTTTGCTCTACAGTCTTACTCTGGAATTATATATAAAGGGTGGACAGAGAGACAAATCTTCACCACAATATCCTACATACAAGAATGTCTTCAAGGAATAATTCAGACTTGGCTAATAAGTCAACCTCAGATGAAAATAAATCCAGCAAAAACCAAGGAGGAAATCCATGTGATTCCCACTATAGCAACTCTCTATTGAGTAGGGCAGTTGGCTTTGCAAGCAATGATCCTAGTGCAATGGCAAATGCTGCTGAAAGTATGAGTAGATATAAGGATTGTATGGAAGAACAGGAAAAAGAGAAAGAAAGAAAGAGAGAAGAATATTTTGCAGCATTGAGAGGTGAACGGAAAAATAGCTAGGGTTCTCACTAATGCTGGAAGAGATATTTTGACAGTTTCTACTTACTGTATGTAGAAACGGATAGATAAGTAATATGTAGTACTTCTTTATTTGAAAGAATACTACCAGGTTAAATCGAAGTTTATAAGGCATGACACAATGTACTCAAGAAAATCATTCACAATGACACAAGGTAATTAAATCGTTAGATGAGAAAAAGCTGTAGCATGCAACAGAAATCTAGTCTAACTATCAAGTAATTTTGAAGAAAGGGGGAGATCCCAGTCTTCACAATACATTAAAGGAGTCTGTGTCAAGATATATTGTAAAGTAATGCTGTTGCTAATCAGTCTTTTTTGGTATTGCTTCTCAACATATATTGTATTGGGAGTACTGAAACCTGTAGCTTTGCATGCAAGCACTTTTTTTTGCTCAGGTACTGTGTTTAGCAGAGCAAGTAATCAGAGGATGACTGATAGAATCTCATGGCTAGTTATATAGGTTACAAACAGCAACTGCTTTACAAACCAATAAAGCACAACAAACAAAGTGAATAACGACAGAGGAAACGTAAGTCAATAGTAGATTGGTACAACAAGAAGTACTGAGTGATCCGATCAACTGACCAAGCGGATTAACGCCTCCTCTGGAATAACTGATCCGAATATTTAGTTGGAAGGAAGGAACGTGAATCTGAGAGGGTCAGAGATGCACAGTCAAATGAACACAAGTATAAAAACAACATTACTAGTACTATAAGCAACAAACTAATTGGGATAACACTGTTGTTCGAAGGTAATTTTAATGCATTTGGAGAGTAGTGAAACAGGGTAGATTTGGTAGAAAGTAATTATGTTAGTAAATTCAAGACAATAGGATCACACGAGAGTAAGGATGGATTGCATTACTATAAGCAACAGTCCATGTACACAACTAAATGCTTAACAAAAATGCACGAGGGATTTGAACGTCACCAAGGAGCCAAGTGATTATTCTAGTACAAGATCAGAACACTTGACATGGTGTGTGGAGGGAGGGCGAAACAAGGGCCAGCATTATTTATACAGCAATACAGTGCTTAAACATTAATGACTCGGGTACTGGATACACAGCCAATTTGCTTCTCAAGCCCAGCTATTGGAAAAAGTGGATTTGCATCGAAGGTGAATTACAGCACTCTCCGCCACATAATACATCCGAGCCTCTTCGACCAACTAATAAGGCAACGAGTTGTGTAATTGTTTGGGCATAGCAAATGTAAATCAACTTATCAAGAGTCGATTGGCAAAATCAGAAACTTGAGTGATCCGATCAACCCTACTACTTACATTCGCAGATATTACTATAAGCAACTGACCAAGCGGATTAATGTTGCTTCTGTGGATTAGAGTATGAATATAGGTATTACTCGTACTATTAGCAACAGACCAGACGCCTCAATGATGTTACAATTCAATACTGCATGTGGAGGCGGATGGAACAAACTATCGAAGTTGAAAATCCTTTACAGGAACCAATGCTCTTTTGTTATTAGTTTAATAACTGGACACTTGATATAAGTATGTGGAGGGAACCAAACAAAGGGCAACAAACACATACATTTATATTGGTTTAGCGAATACAGTGCTTTAACGTTAATGACTCGGAATCCGGATACAGATAGGTGACGGAATCGATTCGCAAGCCAAGCCAAGCCATGTCAGTCGTACATTGTTGTCGGATTCGGAAACGAAGAAGTGAATTATAGTACAGCATGGACGTGACTTCACGTGAATTAGAAAGCAGAGACTCTCTCCACTGATCATCCGCGAATCCGATTCCGAGTCTCCTCGAGAGGCCAATAAGGCAATTGAAGTGCTGTATGACGCAGCGAATGCACAGCAAGAGATGATTGTTAAGACAAGATGGCGGACGAGTGATGCGATCAGCCGTGTGCCGTCCGTTAAACGCGTCCTGACTCAGCCAGTCTGACTGTTGACTCGGTCTTTCATCCCAACCGCTGCCAATGCCGCGCAAGTCGTACATTCTTGCGGTGCAGTGCGCGGTCATCAACGCACTTCCATCGTTAACCGACTTTCTCGCACTTTGCTAAGTGAGTGTGTGTCGTGCAGCAAAGTGCGATGTTGCGTGGAGACACGTTGTCTGAGTTCAGGATGAGCGAGATATTTTTAAAAACTTTTCTATTTTTTCTTCACTCTTTTTTTGCATTCGGAGCAGCTGAATTGACGCAGATAGCTGATAATTGGCCGAATTGGCAGCGAATGGGAATAGGTCCGGGAGAGCAATAGGAAGCCGTCGTAACAAATCGCATGACGGAGCAGCATCCGATAGCAGATATGAATTTGGAGGGAACGACGCTAATCCGAGTGGATGAATAGCAACATCGGGGGAAATCGAGACCGACAGGAGTCGCATTGCTGCGTGCTCGTCGGACATTCCTCCTTCATCAGTCGTCTTGCCGTCCATCCGCGCAGGCGTGTCTCATTTCAATCCTTCGCCTTCCTTATGCGATTGGCCCCCGGGCTGCTTAGTCCGACCTCCTCGCTGCGCTTGTTCTTAGCACATAGACTGACTCCGCAGTCCGTCAGCCTGCGTCGCTTACTCAACGCACATGCCGCGCTGATGACTCGTCCGACTCCGTCTGGTCCGCGCCAATCCACCGCACCGTCCTTCCGATTCGTACCCGACTGCGGTTATAAAACAGCCCCTCCCTCGCAGTTACCATGCACTTCGCTGATAACGACCCCGCCTCCGCCTCTGCACAGCGGCTTCACTATCTAAAGTGACACAACAACCTTCAGCAGCACTGCATAACAGCACAGCGACTACAGCAGCAGCAATGATCTGCACTCACGCACAAGCCGGACCAAGCGCACATCGTGCTTCGACTCGCGCATACACTAACTCACCCTCGTGCGGATACGCCAACAACGCCATCTTCCCCTTCCCAGGCCCCGCACCCACACGAAGTCAGCGCGAGATGTATTTACGTGCACTCGAACAGGAACGCGAGGAGATCCTCGCAGCCGCTTACGCCGACAAGCGGTCAAACTCACCAACCAATACTTACGTCGAGCCCTTTGTTCCTGACTTCGACGGGGAAGATACTGAAGACGAGGATGAATCTCGTTTCGACGATCGCGGACGTCAACACAACTTCCGCGAAACAGTCCGCCAACGCCAGGCACGTCTCGAGTTCCTGCGCCGACAGGACTTTGCACGTCGAATTGCGCACCGCGGACTCGAAGACGCAAAGGCCTCTGCATATGCTATCGTGCGTAATCTCGTTCAGCCTCTCTCCGACAAGCAATCAACTCAGACTTTGGATTTCGAACAGAAACGTCTCCCACCCCCCCGCGCTCGCCCTATTGAGCGTGTAAATGCAGCTACCAAGATCCAGCGTGCCTACCGCCTGCACCGTGCAGTCGCAGGTCTGAACGACTTGACGGCACGCGTAGATAAGGCACATGAGACTTTCGTCCGGGGTTCGAGAGAGAATTACGAGGAGGCGTGGCGTAAACACGCGGAAACTTTGCACGCGCTATTGCGTGAGCTCGGCGAACGGACCGGCGTTCTCTCCGCCGCGGAAACCTCATCTACGTCAGCGCAAAATCAAAATCAGACGCAAATTCACCCCCGTGTACGTTCCGCGGCACGTGCGGCTATGGACGCTCTTCGCGCGGAGTTGGCACAACTCGATCGTATGCAGGTCAGCCGGCATTACGCGCCTGCGGCTGATGCTGCTTCTCTGTCGTCAATCTCTTCCAACGAGGAGGGTGATTATTACGATGATGACGATGACGATGACGATGAATCTGATGACGATGACTATTCATCGTACACTTACACCCCGCCGTCATATGCTACTTCGCTGTACGTCGTCGAGGAGGAAGACGAAGATGACGTCGACGCATTCGAACGTCAACCCGCATTCGAGCCAGTCAAGGCTACTCTCCACCAACGCGCTCGCCACACTCCTTTAATCTCCACATCTTATTCGAGTATGCCGGCACCAGTACCAGTGAAGGTACCAGGATTGATCCGCTCACCTGTGGCGCGATCGCCTTCCCTGCCTTCGATCCCTGAGGAGGTTGACATCGAGGCGTAGATTTTTTTCTCTTTTCTTGATCACACCCATCTCCATCACACCTCTCACACAAAAGAGAAATTACTCGACACTTCCTCTTTACGTTTCGTTTTTTTGTTCACGCAGAGTCTGAGCTACAGTACATCAGATTCTCTTTCCCTCTCTTTCCCCCCCTTTTTTACAGCCAAGCCCATATTGTTCTGCCTTCCAAATGTTGTGACATTACACGTCTTACTCGCAACCATATAATTAGCAATTTGTTGTGCCTATTAGATCATTAATCAATAAGAATGATCAATCACGAAATAATTGTGTACTTTTTATTGTAGGTACTACTGCCTTAGTAAGCCTTCAAGACAAAGCTTAAATTAACACATGAACAATTAAAGATGTTTGCACAATTGATAGACACAATTTGAGCAGTAGCAACAAGCATCTTTTCATTTACAAAGGCTCAATCATAATGAAGCAGATTAAGAATATCAGTATTATGTAATATATAAATTTATAAACATTATACTTAAGTTTGTCTTAGTTCTGTTTACTTACTTAAATCTTAATAATATAATTCCAGACATTGTGGTTCATACACAAAGCTACTACTGTTACTATTGGCTAAAAGAGAAGTCAAGTTAATAACTGTAGTAAAACAGTTTTGTAGTAGAATTTCTTCTTTCTTTTTTTCTGTTTTTCTTTATGTGAGAGAGAGAGAGTAGTAGAGTAATACAACTTCTTTATTTAAGAGATGTATACATATAGTATATATATATAAGTATGTACATTCCTTTAAGTTATTAATCTAAAATAAATAATAATCTAAAATACTAGAATATAGTATATAGTAAAAAGTATGAATTATTCTACTGTTTAGGTTTATAACCTTTAGTCCAGTTTTATTAGTAAAGTTGACAAGTCTAAGTTGGTTACAAATGGCTAACTAAATACAGTTGTACAATGAGGAGGTAACAGAGTTTCTTACAAATCAGGTAAGATTTAGACCAACAGTTCTCTATCTTTACTTATAAGTTAGCTGTCCTTGTACAAAGTCTAATTTAACTTATTATACTAATATGGTAGTACTGTAAGAGTACCTTCTTTTATTACACTTAAGTTATCTGAGGCTTAATCTAAATAATATTTCTAATATAAAATACAGTAGGTTGGTTACAGCTTATAATAAATTTAAGAGACCTCACAGATTTCCAAACCCTACTGTTCTGACCTATACTCAAGCTACTGACTGAACTCAATGTTCACTAATTAGGACAATTGGTTTTAGAGGGAGAGTGATGTTATGATTCTCTACTCTCATACCTTCAGTTCTGAGGGTTCTACACCCTTCTGTACTGGAACTCAGGACTTCCATCCCTTAGAGGCACTGTCTATAAACTATATGTGTACTGACTCTTACTACTACCCTTCCTTACTTCATCATTCCATTCCTTTGACCACCCCTTCATTCTTTGTTCATTCTATAGTCTCTTACCCTTTGTCCATCCCTTCATTCTTTGTACCTTTATCTTTGACATTCCTTTCTTTCATTCTTTGTAGCTTATCATTCTTAGTAGCTCATACTCCCTGAGTACTCTTGTGTAGTTTAGTATATATAGGTGTACAAGATCAGACTAGTCTAGTAGTCTTGATCTTATCTACTCTAGGTAGTCCTGTACTCTTAGGCTTACTCTATATACTCTACTCTTGTCTTGCTCTCTCTCTCTGCCTACTCTGCAAGTTCTGACTACATTCTAGTACTTACATTCTGTATTTCTGTTGTGTAGAATAGTTGTAGCCTGGGTCCCCTTACTGAGCCTTCAGGTTCCTTCTACACTGTTGCTAACATCACCTTAGTTTCATTCTTATCTAATAGGAGGTTAGTTGTCTCAGACTCTAAAGATGGTACTATTTGAATTTTGAACTATTAAAACTAGTAAGCTGACCTAAACAGAGTTAATGTAGAGCACCTAAATGAAGTTGATAAAAGTCTTAGATTGCCTTAGTAGTATGGGTGAGATTCTTAGCAGGTTCCTAAGTGTGTTCTTCAACTAGGTATCCCTTCTAGTAGATAAGGAACTTGAGCTTTCTATACACTAGCTTAGTATCTACTACATACTCTACTTTGTATTCTAGTTTGGAACCAATGAGTTCTGGTGAAGGTAGTAGAAGGGTTCCCTTGAATTCTGAGAAGCACATACAAGTTGTGTATGAATTTTAACTCAAATTATAGTCCACAATCATAAATGAGCTTTTAAGAGAGTCTGTGTAACTAGAAGACATGATTCTAATAAATACATACTATACTTTCAGAAGTGAGTTCTGTTTGGGTTAGAACTGTATGAACTTGCTTAGAGAATCAGTCAACAATCATACAGATAGTGTTGTAACTCTAAGACTTGGGTAGCTTACTAATCAGGTCCACTAAGACTTCTTCCTAAGAGTGATCCAGAATCTGATACAGATGTAAGAGAGTCTAAACCCTTGTCTGGTAGGCCTTAGTCTGTTAGCACATATTGTAACTGGTTATGTACTTTAGGATTTCTCTCTACATTCCTGGCTACTAGTAGTTCTGAGTAATAAGTTCCTGTGTTTTGTGTTAGCCCAGATGTTCTATGGTTAGATTGTTGTAATGAGCTCAGACAATGTCCTTCTACAGCTTCTGATCCTTCAGAATGTACAGTTGGCCTTCCTAGTAAACCTGTCCATCCTTATCCTCCTCCTAATCCCTAGCCTACTTCTCTAGTTACTTTACTATAACCTAGTCCTGTGTGTGTCTTAGAGCTTACTGTATACAAGTAACAAAGTTAACATTCTTAGATTTGAGTCAGATCTCTCAGATTGTCTTAGACACAAAACAGGAATTGTCTAGGAGAACAAGATTTTTGTTATTATTCTCCCCCCTTTCATAACCTACTTGTCTTGAGAGTAAATCAGCTTTTGTCATTTGTGTTCTGAGTTTGTAGGTTAGTACAAAGTCATAGTTCTACAGTTCTAACATCTAGCAGGCTTAGTAGTGGTTGAGCTTCTGAGGCACTTAGAAGTACTAGAGATTAAGGTGATTACTCCAAATCTTAAACTTCTGTATAGTACTAAAGAGATATTAATACTACTCCTCTAAGGAACAGATAATTGTAAGAAGTTCCTTATTATAGATAGGGTAGTTCTGTTCTGTTGTAGAGAGGGATTCTGATTGGAACACTATCAGACACTACTTTCTGTCAATGAACTAGAATAGTACTACTCTATTTGTAAAGTTAGAAGAGTTAGCTTTGACTCAGAACTTGTCTACAACTGTCAGAACTGCTAATATAGGCTTACTAGTAATAACCTACTTTAGAGACTCAAACACAGACTACTACTAATCCTCCCATTACTAAGGAACATCTTTGCTAGTAAGATTGTAAAGGGGCTAGACAATAGTACTAAAGCCTCAAATAAAGTATTAGTAGTAGTTTACAAACTTAAGGAATACTTAGACCTGTTTCAGGTTCTAAGGTTGTAACTAGTTCCAAACTGTAGTTACCTTTGTTGGATCCATACAGACCTCTCCTCCACTAATTACAAAGCCTAGATAATCTACTGACTCCTACACAAAAGAGTACTTTACTTCTTAGAGGAACAGTTTATTATCTTAGAGCTATTGTAGAACTGCTCAGATTAGTTAGTAATAGTACTTGACTGTCTGAGTAAAGATCAGAATGTTATCCAGATACACACTAACATACTCTAAGTCAATCAGATCTGTAAGGATATGATTCATGAATGACTAGAATGTTGTAGGCAAGTTGGTTAGTCTAAAAAACATTATAGTTGGTTTGTACAATCTGTAATTAGTTTGGAACACAGTCTTCTACTCATCTCTGTCTTAGATCTAAATATTATTGTATTCCTATCAAACATCCAACTTAGTAAAAACTCTGAATGTATGTGTCTTATTAATGAGCTCCTGAATCAGGGGGAGTAGGTACTTATTTTTGACAGTACTCTTATTAAGACAACAATAATTCTGGACTGGGCAGAGCTTCCTATCTTTCTTTTTGACAAAGAAGAAAGGGGAGGCTATAGAGGACTTTAAAGGTTGGATCTGACTGTTCTGAAGATTTTCCTGAAGGAACTCATCAAGTGCCTCCTGCTTGTCTCTGTTGAGTAGGTAGACCTTGTAATCCTTAGGTTGGAAGCTGTCAGTAACAGTATAGAGGGGACCTGAAGGCTCAGCAAGGGGACCCAGGCTACAACTATTCTACACAACAGAAATACAGGATGCAAGCACCAGAACATAGTCAGAACTCACAGAACAGGCAGAGAGAGAGAGTGAGACAAGAGTAGAGTATATAGAGTGAGCCTAAGAGTACAGGACTACCTAGAGTAGACAAGATCAAGACTACAGGACTAGTCTGATCTTGTATGCCTATATATACTAAACTACACAAGAGCACTCA